ATGAAATCATACAGTGTGTGGTCTTTTGTGACTGGCTTCTTTCATTGATATAATACTTTCGAGGTTCATCCATGTTGTAGCACATATCAGTACTTCATTCCTTTTTATGGCTGAGTAATATTTTATTGTATGGATATACCATATTTTGTTTATTCATTTGTCCATTCATGGACATTTGGGTTGTTTCTCCCATTTTGGCTGTTATGAATAGTGCTGCTATAAACATGCATGTATACATTTCTGTGTGGACATGTATTTTCATTTCTCTTGGTTATATACAAAAGAGTGGAATTGTGGAGACCCCTGAAACAAAGAGAAGTCCCAGGAAAATGACAAAGGATACCCCAAGGTGACAGCTGTGCAGCAGGCCTAGAAAACAAGCAGTTCAGATTGGAGCAGGAGGTCAGAAATTTTGAGGAGAGAGGTCTCCAGGAATAAAATGGAGCTGGTATCTTATAGGTTTGATTGATTGGAAAATTATATTGAGAGCAACAAGGTAAATCACCAAAGAGAACCAGGGAAAGAGGCAGTTAAGAAGAGCCCTCCTGAGGAGAGAACAAACCTCAAACCCTGGCCTCAAAAACTACATCTGCCTGAATTTTATTGGCTCAGACTGTGGAGCAATTTATATCTGGGGCATTGTCACAAACACTCAGGCAACAAGTAGTGGAGACTAACAGCTGGGTATGATACCAAAAGGGGCAGAAAGCTTAAAAGAAAGATCAGGGAAAGAGGCAAAGAGAGCCCTACTAAAACCATCATTCCATGTGACTGTCCCATACCCAGGGCTGTGCCCTTTGATGAGCAACAGAAGAGTCTTCACACTCTGTGTGTAGGAATCGACCACTAGTCTATTAGTTTAGCTACTAGTCTATTAGTTTAGTGATTTAGTTTAACCAAGCCGCTAAATACATACACAAGCAAGCAGCAACAAAAACAAGCACCAGAGAGGAAGGGAAATAAGTTCCAGTTTTCAACAGAAAAATCATGGCACATGCAAAGAAACAGGAAGTGTGACCCATTTACAGGAAGACAAAGCAGGCAACAGAAACTACCCGTGAGGGTGCACCGACATAGGATTTAACAGACAAGGAGTTCAAAGCAGCCTTTATAAATGTATTCAGAGAACTAAAGGAAACCATCCTTAAAGAAGTAAAAGATTCTATGATGACAATGTCTCATCAAATAGAGGATACCAATAGAGAGATGTAAATTATAAAAAAGAACCAAAAGGAAACTTTGGACTTGAAAAGTAAAATAATCAAAATGAAAAATTCACTGAGAAGCTCAATAGTAGATTTGAACTGTTGGAAAAAGAGTCAGAAACTTGAGGCTAGAGTGAGAGAGATTATGTGAAGCCAGGAACGGAGGAAGAAGAATGACGAAACATGAACAGAACCTCAGTGAAATCAGAGACACATTAAACACAACAACATACCTCTAATCGGAGCACCAGAAGGATGAGAAGAAAGAAAGGAACAGAAAAAATTATTCAAAGAAATAATGGCTGACAGCTTCCCGGATTTGATGAAAAACATTAATCTACACATTCAAGAAGATTAATAAACTCCAAGTAGGATAAATATAAAGAGATCCCCACCTAGTAACATAATAAAAAGGAAATGAAATCCTACTACTCTATTTGACGCAATAGTTAACATTTACCATCCGATGTTATAGCCATAAGCCTGTAAACACTGAATATTGATTTAACCAAAAATGTGTTACACTTATATTGAAAGGATGGTGAAAAGGAACGTTGGTAATACAGGTAGGGTGGTGAGGTGAGGGTCATTTAATGTGAAAGCTTAATGGGGAAAGTTTACATTTAGTTTTAGTCCTCATCTAACACAAGAGATCAAAGATCTCAAAATGATGACACGAAGAGAACAAGTACAAGAGATAGCAAGAGATGACAGTATATGCATATTTTCAGAAATACGGAAGTAAATTGAAGAAGCAGCAGCTACAACCTTGAAAGCGGGTACCTTTGGGAGCAGTGCCAGGGCTGAGAATGGGCGGGGTGTGTGCTTCCGTTTTTCATTGTAAGCCCTTAGTACAATTTGACTTTACATATGTACATGGTTTTACATCCATACAGTGCAAATTAACTTTTTTTACCTTACCACAGTTTAATGATGATGATTTTTTAATCCCCCCAGCTTTATCGAGATATAATTGACATATAACATTGTTTAAGTATAAGCTAGACAATGTGTTGATTTGATACCTCTATATATTGCAAAATGATTACCACAATAAGGTCAGTTAACACATCCATCACCTAACATAATTACTGGGTTTTTTTTTGGTGATGAGAACATTTAAGATTTACTCTCTTAGCAACTTTCAAGTATATGATACAGTATGGTTAACTGTAGTCATCATGCTGCCCATTAGATCCCAGAACTTATTCATCTTGTAACTAAAAGTTTTTACCCTTTGACAAACATCTCTCCATTTCCCCTAGCCCCTGACAACCACCATTCTCCTGTCTGTTTTTATGACTTCAGCTTTTTAAAATTCCACGTATAAGTAAGATCATATAGTATTTATCTTTCTTTCTCTGACTTATTTCATTTAGCAAAATGCCCTCAAGGTCCTTTCCATGTTGTTGCAAAAGGCAGTATTTCCTCCTTTATCATGGCTGAATAGTATTCCATTGTATTTTTGTATGTGTGTATTTATACATATATATATGTATACATGTATATACATGTATATATATTACATATATACATATACATGTACATATACATATACATACACCCCCCCCACACACATTTCTTTGTCCAGTCATCTGTCGATGGACACAGGTTGTTTCCTTGTCTTGGCTGTTGTGAATAATGCTGCAATGAACACCAGGGTGCAGATGTTTCTTCAGCATAGTGATTTCATTTCTTTTGGATATATACCTCAAAGTGGGATTGCTGGATCATGTGGTAGCTCTCTCTCTAATTTTTTTAAGGAAACTCCATACTGTTTTCCATAGTGGCTGTGCCACTTTACAATCCCACCAACAGTGTATAAGGGTCCCCTTTTTTCACATCCTCACCGACACTCATTATATCTTGACTTTTTGATAACAGCCATTCTAACAGGTGTGAAGTGATATCTCATTGTGGTTTTAATGTGTGTTTCCCTGATGGCTAGTGATGTTGAGCATCTTTTCATGTACCTGTTGGCTGTGTGTATGTCTTCTTTGGAAAAATGTCTATTCAGGTCCTCTGCCCATTTTTAAACTAGATTACTTTTTCTGTTGTTGTTATTGAGTTGTATGAGTTCCTTATATATTTTGGATGTTAACTCCTTATCAGAAATATGGTTTGCAAATATTTTCTCTCCTTCCATAGATTTCCTTTTTCTTTTGTTGATAGTTTCTTTTGCTGAGCAGAACTTTTTTAGTTTGATGTAGCCCCACTTGTTTATTTTTGCTTTTGTTACTCGTATTTTTGGTGTCATATCAAAAAAAATTGTTGCCAAGACAAATGTCAAGGAGCTTTCTCTCTATCTTTTTTTCTAGGAGTTTTATGATTTTAGGTCTATGTTTAAGACTTTAATCTATTTTGAGTTAATTTTTGTGAATGGTATTAGATAGGGATCCAATTTCATTCTTCTGCATGTGGTTATCTAGTTTCCCAATACCATTCATTGATGAGACTGTCCTTTCCCCACTGAGTATTCTTGGCTCCCTTGTCAAATATTGGGTGACCTTATATGTGAGGCTTTACTTCTGGGCTCTTGATTCTGTTGCATTGGTCTATGTTTCTATTTTTGTGCTAGTACCATGCTGCTTTGATTAATTTAGCTTTCTAATATAGTTTGAAATCAGGAAGTGTGATGCCTCCAGCTTTGTTCTTCTTTCTCAGGATTTGGGGCTATTTGGGGTCTTTTGTGGTTCCATATGAATGTTAGGATTGTTTTTCCCTATTTCTGTGAAAAATGCCATTTGAGTTTTGATAGGGTTTACACTGAATCTATAGATAGCTTTAGGTAGTACGGACATTTTAACAATATTTATTCTTTCAATCCGCAAACATGGGATATCTTTCCATTTGTGTCTTCAATTTGTTTCATCAATGTCTTATAGTTTTCAGTGTACGTATCTTTTACCTCCTTAGTTAAATTTATTCCTGAGTATTTTGTCGTTTTTTATTCTATTGTAGGTGGGATTGTTTTCTTTTTCAGATAGTTTGTTGTTAGTGTATAGAAATGCAGCTGATATTTGCATGATGATTTTGCATCCTGCAAAACCCAATCCTCAGATAGCTGATCTGTCCATTCTGTGTGTAAGCAGTCCCTAAACCAGTGACTCTCAAACCTTGCCGCTCCTCAGAATCACCTGAGGAACTTTCCCTAAACTCTGCTTCCTATGTTCTGACCACGGGGATTGTTCTAAGCAGACTGGGGTGGAAGTCAGGAATAAATATCGTTCAAAAGCTACTTGGGTAATTCTGATATGCAGTCAGAGTAGAAAACCGCAGTCAATGAAAATCTAGTAGTCAAAATAGAGGATACGAAGTGGCTTCTACTCTTTAGGGAGATTCTGGGTTAGACAGTGTGGCATACAGTCAAAAGCACTAGTTTTGGAGCTTGGAGATGGGGTTCCAATCTCAGTGTAGCCACTTCCTAGCTGTCAGTCTTAGACCAACCGAATCTTTCAGAGCTTCAGTTGGATGGACGTAAAGCCTCAGCACAGTATTTGGTGCTACAGCACACAGTATATGTTGGCCGGATTCATTCTGGTGTACGCACGTGCCACTGGATTAGTCGGAATGCAGAAGTCTACGGAAGCACACCTCCCGCCAGCTCTTTAGGAAAGCCAGCGGACGTTTCCTGCTCCCCCAGCCAAGCGAAGGATGCAAATACCACGTCAGAGGGAGGGGACTATTCTTGGTACCTGTTTGCCCGCCAAGCTCCACGTGCTGCGCCAGGCGCGTCCACCAGGGGCCGCTCGAGCTACCCACGCTCCGCGCCGAGCGGGCGACGCCCCCGCGCGTGCTCACTAGCTTTCGGCGGCTGCTCCCGGGGCGGCTACCCCGAGCCTCTGTGGCTCGGTACGGCAAGCCCTTTGGGGACAAAAACCTTCCCTCTTCCGTGGGCAAACCTGGGGCGGCCAGCATCAGCATCTCTGTTGCGCCGCTGCCCCGGAGGCAGGAGGGGGCTGACCCGGCGCGGAGGTCGGGCCGCCTGGGGCCTGCGGCCTGCGCCGCCGCCGCGGCCCGGATGTTGCGATGGCTGATCGGGGGAGGCCGAGAGCCGCAGGGACTGGCCGAGGTAAAGCCCGGGCGGACCCTGCGCGCCCCGCCGAGGCCGAGCCGCCGGGCTCCCGCTCGGCACCGCGGACCCCGGGCGGGCGGGGCCTCTCCGCGCAGCCCCCGGCCCCGGGGCGCTCGGGCCGCTGAGGGTGAGGCCCCGGGCTCGGGAGGGAGGGAGCCGAAGCTGCGTGGTCACCGCGCACGGGGACGCTCGCTGCTCCTCTCGCCCCTTGACCCAGCCTCGTTTCAGGGAAGTTTCTGACTCGCTGGAGACAATCGAGTGGCCGGCAGCTTTCCACTTTCGGCTTATTTGAATTGGTGTCGCTTCCCAACATCAGCTGTTGCTTGCTCAGGGAATATAAAATTAATTTGATTATTTATCCAAGAACTAAAAAGATAGGATTATTTAAAAAAATTAATAATTTCCTTCAAAGTCAAGAAATGGATATTCTAATTAACTGCTGTTTTTGGTTCCATGGTTACCGCTTTCTTCACGGGCCTGAATAATTGAATAGGCTGTAATGAGATTTGCATTTGAAATGTTGCGAATAAAATAATTTTGGAGGCTTAAAAGTGTTGGGGTCTGGAATTTAATTTGTATGCCACCCAGCAGTAGAGTTTGTGTTGAATTCCCTTTTATTTCTCATAGGAAATTCTTGTTTTGATGGTTAAAAATAAAAAACTTGGATCGCTGTGAGTAAGCACCCTTACTTCTCAGTTTTGACTTCCTCATATCTTTGCAGTTAAGGCTTATTGTCTATTTTTTTTTAAAAAAGGTATTTTTTATTTCAAATTAGGTTTATTTCAGATAGACTGAAATCCTAAAGGTTATAGAAGAATTGTGGAAAATTGAGTTGTCCGTAAATGATACATATGACAGTTCTGCATTAAGCCGGTTATTTGCCCGGTCCTAGCGTTTCATTAACTGACTCAGCCGGGCCGGCAGGCTTTCTTTTGGGGGAAGTGGTGTACAGTTTTCAGGTTGCTCACTTTTGCTTTTCTCATCAGAGCTGCTGCTAGAAGGGAGATGGGATGAACAAAAAAGTACTGCTTTGGGGCTCAGTGTTTTGGAAAACAGGCAGTTGTACATTTCTTCATGGAAAAGTCCTTCAGTTGTATAACTGCTGTTACACTTTGTATACTATCAGAACCAGTGATTTTTCCTGATTTATGCAGGCTTCTAGTTTAAGCCCTGTCTCTTTTCTGGAATGATTTTGCCCTTTAAGGGATGTTGGGCAATGTCTGGAGACATTTTTGAGTGTCACAGTTTGGGGGTTGGTGGGGTGGATTTCTGTTGGCATCTAGTGTGTGGAAGCCAGGGATGCTGGTGAACATCCTACAGTGCACGTGACAGCCCTCCACGACAGAGAATGGTCTGGTCCAAAATGTGAGGAGCGTCAAGTTTGAGAAACTGCAGTTTAGAGGTTAAGAACAAAGGTTTTATCATGAAACACTGCTGGGTTTGACTACAGACATGGGGTTAGTTAAGACCTACCTTCAGAACTGTTGGTGAGTTTTATGCCACAGGTGCTTTGCACAGTGGCTGGTATGTGGGCTGCTACCTGGTACTCTGTAAATGCCAGCAGTTATCTTCATCAATATTATTGTTCAAAGTTGAATTCATTGACTAAATGGTTTCGTTCCTTCCTTTATTCATTCAACAAACCTGTATTGAGTGTCTGTAATGAGCTCGGCACTCTTTTGGTCTGTATTGTATTTGACCTGTGGTTTTGTTTCTGCCAAGTTCTAATTGAGAGACACCCATTCTAAAATAAGGAATTGAATTGGCCCATGAATTTTTTAGGGCAGGTTTACTGAGGTATAATTTCTGTAAAATAAAATTTACCTTTTTTGTAAGTTTACTGTGACTTGAAAATACTAAAATTTTTGTTGTTGGTGGTGGTTTTTTTTTTTACAGTAACATTGGATTATAACATTATATAGCTTTCAGATGTACATCATAATATATTTCGAATTCTGTGTAGATTATATCATGTTCACCACCCAAAAACTGGTTATACTCCCTCACCGCTCATGAGAGCCTAATCACTCCTTTTGCCCTCCCCACTCTGGTAACCGCCCATCCAGTCTCTGTTGCTATGTATTTGTTTGTCGTTTTTATTTTCTACTTAGGAGTGAGATCATGTGGGAAAACACTAAAATTTATAGTGTGGATTCATGTAGGAGAAATGTTTTATGTTAAATTGGCAGTTCGTTGATATTAGGGGGACTAATCCGTAGTATTAGAACATGATCTAATTATAACTTTTAAAATCTTGTGTTCTTAGATGTATCCCATGTAGTTTATTCCAATATGGTCTTTTATCATAATTCATTTTCTCTCTTTCTCTCTCTCTCTTGTTTTTACCTTTTTTTTTTTTCCAATTCAAGAAATCTCCTTTGCAGACAATAGGTGAAGAGCAAACCCAGAACCCCTACACTGAGCTGCTTGTCCTGAGAGCTCATCGCGATATTGTGCGGTTTTTGGTGCAGTTAGATGACTGCAGGTAAGAAGCTCTGCTTGTCCAGCTGACTACTGTTCGGAAAGAGTTTTTAGGGAATTTTATATGAAAAACAACTTCAAAATTAACCCATCCTCTATAAAGATTTCAAAACTGATCATTAGTAACATTTAGGAAAAATTGACCTCTGCCTCTTGATGAAGTATCTTCTCAAGTCTTTTTTGCCCCAAAGTTAGGATGTCCTATCTAGTGATTTGATGGTCATTTATTTGTTTATTTTTGAGTGCTCAGAAATGTTCTTGTTAGTTTAGAGGGAGTGTATGACTTGAAAATTGGGGTAGAAGTTATAACCGTGTGTTAAGTGGACCTAAATTTGAGAAGTAAATATGGGAAATGTTTAAATATCAAGTACCTACCAGGAATGTGCTATTTTTAGTGGAAGGTAAGGTAAGTATTTATTCTGAATTTTTTTTTATTGATGAAACCCCTTTAAAATGAACACTATTCTCCACTTCCTTGCTACCTTGTGAAATATTGTGTTTAATATATTTGCAAATGAAGTGTGTAGGTCTTAGGGCTGTAGATTTAGCTTATTACTGATCTATATATCTGTTTATTAAGCTCTTATTCGACTATATGCTTCTCCTTTGTAGCATGTATCACAGTAATAGTCACACAATTAATTGTGTAACTATTTAATATTTATTTTCCCCTCTAGAATGTAAACTTCATGAGAATGGGGCCTCTGTTTTCTTACTCAGCACAGTACCCTTAGTACCTGGCACAGTGCCTTACATGTAGCAGGTAATTAGTAGTTGTTAAATGAGTGAGTGACTCCCCAGACTATTAAGTATACATGTTGCATGCCATCCTGACTCCCTAATCCCGCTGCCATTGTCCCTATCAATTCTTCCTCTATCATCTCTAATTTTTCTCTTGCCTTTCATTCTGTCCTTTTTCACTCCCTTTTTGACTTCATAGGTGACTGTCCCTAATGCTGACTTGCACTTCTGTTGTCTGTTCACCTTGTCTTCTCGCTGCTTCTCTTATGTCTTTGCTGTTTAGTGGCCTTCCCCCTTCCCTAGAGTTAGGTCAGACTTTACAGGTTAAGGGCGTAGTCCTGCGCAGCACTGCCCTCACCTCAGTCACCAGCTGCAATTTCCAGGGTCCTCAGGCCACCCATACTTCTGACTAACTGGAGACAAATTCCCACTATCCTCTCAGGTTTGATAATTTGCTAGAACGACTGACAGAACTCAAGAAAGCACTGTACTTATGATTACAGGGTTTTGTTTGTTTGTTTGTTTGTTTATCAAGGATGCAATCAGGACCAGCCAAATGAAGAGACACATAGGGCAAGGTCTGGGAGGGTCCCACATGCAAAGCTTCCCTGTCCTCAGGGTGCTCACCCTTAAGCACATCAGAGTGTATCACTAATGAGGGTGCTCGCTGGAGCTCTGACTGTCTAGAGTTTTTATTGGGGTTTCGTTACATAGTAATGTTTGTTTGAATCATTTGCTCTGTGACTGAACTCAATTTCGCCTTCTCTTTCTGCCCCAGGTTGGGAGGTCAGGCTGATAGCCCAGGCTCAAAGCCTCAACCCTTTAATGACATGGTTCGTATTTTCCATGTGGCCAGCCCCCATCCTTAAGTTGTGTAGGGGCCCACCATGAGTCATCTTGTTGATGACTCAGGTGAGGTCTGAGGGGCCCAGCTCCCTTCTGGACACCACGGACAAAGTCTAGCCAGATTATTATACAACAACATCCTTCTCAACTTTTGCTTGGAAAGATTCGCCTCTTATATTTATTACTAGCCTGTCAACACTATTCTCCTCTTGTGATGTGAGCCAACTAAATCATAGTATGTTAACCATAGATAACAATCTTTAGCGTTTTTAGTAATATTCCTTGTTGCTGTGTCCTGAGAAACACTCTATTTATTTGTCTAGTCAGTCAGTCAGATCTTTGAAACTAAACATTTCTGGAAAGATAGGATATTTGGACATCTAAAGTTTTCTTGGACCGTATTTTACCATAGTAAGTTGCTAGGTAGGTTAAAAAAGACCGAAATAATTCTTTAGACCATAATCACTAATATTTGGGCCTTAGTGAATCCTCAAATCATTTTGTCTAAGAAAGTTAAATAAAAAATATACAGTATACTCTCAGGATATGGTCTTTAAATTTTTACATTGATTAACGGTTACGATTCCGTGTTCATTGCTATCTGTCCTCTGAAATGTCCTCTTGGCTATTCTTATTACATAGTTAGAAGAAAAATCTGTAGAAAAGACCATCTTGTCGAATAATGATCATTGTACAAATGCTGGTACTGGATTGCTTTTTCCCCACAGTGGTGCTCGTATACACTTCAGTTGTTCAATGATAGAGTAAATGTTCTGTAAACAGTAAAACGTTATAGATAAGTATATCAGTTGTCTATTGCTCTGTCACATACCCCTTCAAACTTAGTGGTTTAAAACAACCGCTGTTTATTTAGCTCACTATTTTGCAGGATGGCAGTTTGGGCTAAGCTCAGCTAGGTGAGGTTTTCATCTGTGCTAGGATCAGCTGATCATGGGTAGGGTGACTTACGCATCTGTGGTCAGCAGGTAGATTGGTTGGGGCTGGCTGGTTCACAGGGGGCTCAGCTGGGATGACGGGAGTCTCTCCATGTGGCTGCTCAAGTGCTTGCTCGTATAGTGGTAGCAGAGTTCTAATACCAGCAAAAGGGCAAGCCCCAGTGTAAAACTCTTTTCAAGTCTTTGCATCATGTTTGCTGCTGTTTCAGTGGCCGAAGAAAGTCAGGAGCTGGCACACATTTAGTAAGTGGATAAATAAACCCTGCCTCTTGATGGAGAACAACTAAGTCCTATTGTAAATGATGGTGTATGTAGGGAGGGAGAATAATTTACAGCCATGTTTGCTGTCTGCCACAGTGAGTCTAAATGTCTAGAAGAGATGAAAAAGTCTTTTTGGTTTTTGCAATAAAGTGAAGATATTACTACATGAATCATGTTTAATTTTATGTACTCAAGTCATTACTGTGTCAAAATTTACATGCAGTCGGGTATGAAGTTTTTCAGTCAATCCCAGACCTGTAGAACTTGCAATCTGTGTTTTGTTTTAAAAAATTTGATTCTGTAGTGTACTTAAAAAAAGTAACTGAAAGAGTCATTATTGGTAAGAAAGACATAGAAAAATCTACAAACTGTATAAATTTTTATTATGAATAGAATTAAGAGCTCAACCTTTCCATTCTTAATTTAAAAGTTTGGAATTATCTTTACCTTTACATATGTAAATTATTTATACATTGTCAAATTACAGAAATACCTTTCCAGTTTTAAAATAAATGTTATATTGTTATACTTTTCTTGTTTTTATTTAGTTTTTGTAGATGTTACATTCTGATGTTTTGGTCAGCTGTTGTAATCCAGGTTTCACGCTTCAAGTCTTCAGATAATATCATTTTATTGAGAATTTGGCAGAGGGATTTTCTTGTTTTCTTGGTGGCTCAGCTAAAATCAGTGAGTGGAAAATTTTCTCAGATTGGTTTTTGAAGATACCAAATAAATCCTATATAACCTAACAGACAGCTGCCTTTTCTTTTCTTCTTTAGTATTTTTTGAACACGAAGTGAGGGTCATATTGATTGGGAGATCACTAAAGAAGGGTAAGCCTCAGCAAGAGTCCTCCAAAAAATGGACTGTGCTAAAATTGCATGTAATACTCCAGCATTTGACACATTAAACTAAACTGAGTTCATAACACATTTTAAGAATAGTTTTCTCTGTTGCTCGTTTGACCATTCCTTGCTCCTCCAGGAAACAGACAAGGTTATGTAGGATGGTGATCACGACTGGAAAAGAATCAGGTGACCCATGAAATGCCAGACTGGAGAACAAAATGTGCCCTAGGATGGCTGGTGAAGCTGCACATTCACAGGAAACTAAACGAACTCAGTACAGTTCGATAAGTCACTAACAACAAACAGTGTGTTATACCTTGAAGAAAATATTCTTAAACTAAGAATATCTTTCTCACTAACATTCAGAGACTAGAAATCTGTAGTCAAGAGGATTTAGATCCTCCTAACCCCTGGGTTCCCTGGGAAGCAGACACTAAAATGGAATTAAGCATGCAAAAGATTTATTAGAGAGAAACGCCAATAAGGGGGAAAGGGAGGAAGCAGGACTGGAGCCGGGGAGCTGCTGCAGACTGTGGCGCAGATCTGACAAGTCTCTGCGAGGCCCTGGGGAAAGAACCCCCTGTGGAGGAGTCCTGCGATGAACGATGAAGATGAACGGAAATAACTAGGACTTTTCCCCTGCCTTGTCTGGTCTTGGGGTCATCCAGGAGCGTGCCCCTGGCTTCCACCACCCTGCCTAAGTCCCAGCGGCTGGGGCAGCTGAGATGGTACGACTTTGGCTTGAAAGCTGAAACGGACCCTGAAATCACCAGCTGGAGGCAGACAGTCACGTCCCCCTTGGCTGGGGGGCTGGTTCTCTCTGGAAGGGGTATCTGCAAGTCAAGATCTCTGCTGCCTTTCCTAGAGAAACTGTAGCTTGGGATCAGTAATAATTGATGAGAGGAAATTTCTCTTTATAGAAGAATTCAAGCTAGGAAGAATCATAGAATCGGAATATTGTAATGTTGCGATCTCTGATAGAATAACAAATTTGGGCAGTGGTTATCAATGGCTGTTAACATCACAAAAAGAAGACTGCTGGGAATTATATTTCCTGGTGGAGTATACAAACTGCCTATGAGGCGGTCTTATCAAAAAGTCAAGTTTGCATCCAAGTAAGTCTCTAGATCTATTAATTTACCAGAAATACAGGGGACAGAGGTGCATGTTAAATGACAACACAGGAAGGTAGCTAGCAGAATTCAGACTGTGAGAGCTCTTAAGACCAACATGTAATTGCAAGGGAAAAAATATATGGAGAAGGAAACAGAATAAGAGAAACTTTAGAGATGTATCAACCAGTTCCAACGTATGAACCTTATTTAGATCCTACTTCTAATAAACTTTAAAAGAATTGTGAGACCATCAGAGAAATTTGGTCACTGACTAGGTACGTGGGGACATTAAGGAATTAAATATTAACTTTAGTTGTGATATATAAGAGTCCTAAGAGATACATACTGATGAAATACAGTGACTGGAATTTGCCTCAAAATAATCTGTGGAGGGGGCACTGGGTGTGGTGCGGATGAGACAGTGTTGGCCATGAGTTGATAATTATTGAGGACAGATGATGAGTACCTGGGGATTTTTGTTACACTGTTTCCACTTTTATATATATTTAAGTTCTCTGTAAAGTTTAAAAATAATGTATAGTTGGTATGGAGGAACTAAAAATGCCAATTTAAAAGGTATTTTCGTTTCAATATAAAATAAAACTTTCTTAGATATTATTAGATGCAGGAATCACACAGATGAACATGAACATGTCAGCTTAACAGAGTGATAACTGGCAAAAAGCTGGATTAAAGGGTGTGGCTTCAATATATGACCACAGTGGGTTTCCTGATCCTGCACCCTGAGTTAGGGACAGTTATTCACTGAATCGCTGGCCCAGCTGGACACCTGCGAGCCTCCCACTCAGTTGTAGGCTTACCTCAAAAATAAGAGCAAACCAAGATGCTTGCTCTCTGTGAACAGACAGATCCTCAGAGGAAACCCAGGAGGGTCTGAACTGCGCCTGCTCAGTTCGTTCTCTCAAACTCGCTTCTTAGATCAGCGGGGCAGAGAGGCCAGGGATGTCTCTCTAGTAGAAGTTCCTTCACAGAAAGGAAACGCGCGCGAAGGGGATTGGAGGTTTCCCCTGATAGAAGTCACAGGGATTTTTTGGTATCTAGTACTTGTGAACTTGGTGAGTAGTTTAGTTTTCTATTTGTGATTTGGGGGAGGGGAGAATTTATTGAAGGTTTCTACCTTTGCAAATGACCGTGGGAGCTGTGGAATCTTCCCACCTTCATACTGTTTGTGAGCTGAAAAAGGACCTTAGGTATTCAGATATTAGAGTTGTGTTAATATATACATTTTTCTTAAGGAAAAATAATTTTACTATTCCTGTAGCTCCAATGAAAGAATCAGTGACGTCAGCGTCGATGACTCCTGAGAATGCTCTGAGGTTCCCTTCAGTTTCTCTCAAAGTCTCTATCTACCTACTTCTCTAATTTTCTTCAAGTAGTTCTAGCATACGAGATAAGTAAACATCTATTCTAAATGAAAAATTTGTTGTTTTCCTACTTTGTCTGTTTCTGGTGTTGTATTATTCAACTTTACTTTATTGTAAAAAATATATGCTATTTTAGTTGCACCGTGTATTAGAAAGTTCTTGTGGATTAGGTGGGAATTAGTAAACCTAGGGATTTTTTTGTGTTGCCGGAACAATGTTCTATTTTTATTTTTCCATTGCTTTCTGGTTATGTAGATATTGAATACAGGGAGGTTTATGGGCCTTAATTTTTACTATGTTCTCTAAGGTTATATTTGAATCTGTAGCAACTTTGACTTAATTGAAATAAATTCACATGAGTAAGAACTATTAAATAAGCATGTAGGTAATGGACATAGCACTTACTTGTGAAACTATTTTGTTTTATATCTTTGTGAAACTTTGCTGTACTTTCAGCTCACAGTTGACAGGAATGAGAGTACTTTCTCTGAGATGTTCAAAGGGAAGTAGTCTAAAGGGAGTGATTTCTATAAATTGAAATGAGTGTAAGTGAGAATTCTCAGTGAGTTCAAGATCTGGACCCACCAGCATCACTTAGTAATGTAGACTGAGCTCTTCAAGGGCAAGAAGGATCTTGTTGATCTTTACTCTCAAGAGCAAGCATATAAATATAAAAGTTAGTGCTTAATATATAGTTAGTGCTTAATAAATATTTCTTGGATTAATGCATGAGTGAATGAATCATCAACTCTCACAATAAATGTAGTTCTTATAATTAGGGGAGGAGAAGGTGGAACATTCTAGAAGCTCTGCTATAGGTCTTCATTAAACCTTGTTAACCTTTTTTTCATGCTTATAGTTTTTATTAGTCATTCAATTGTATAGTCTCAACAAGTATTTTTAAAGACTTGGTTTCAAGTTAAGAAGACTTCAAGGTTATGCATAGGAATGGGATAGGAATATGAAAAAGATAAAAGAAATTAATTTTTGTGTGGTGGGATTCTGGGTTTTAATTTTTCGAATTTCTATTTTGTTATGACATATTGATACATTAATAATAAAAGGAAAAAGTGAGGTTACATTAATATTAATTATTATTAACTATTAACAAATCTATTTTACAGAGCCCTTGAGACACTTAAATGTTTGCTTATTCGTTCCTTTAGTCATTGAAAAAGCATTTCTTTAGTGCTTTGAACCTGCCAGAGATAATCAGAGATTTCTTGGTCTAGAAAGCTCCCTATTATGAAGATCAATTAATATGGCAATTGCTATACTTCATTGATTCTAAGAAGCCTATTTTTACATCTCTAAAATTTGGATACATCATGTAATTGATGGTGTCCTTCAGTTATAATTGGCAGCATTTCCCCCAATAGTACATAATAGAATGTCTTGGAATTGATGATGTCTTAGATTTGGTGAAATACGGTACATTGCTAAACAATCACTAAATTTTAAGGTCTTGAGGAAAGAACCACATGTAATTGATCTTAGCATTTCCCCAACACCTGGTATGAAATCTCACTAAATACATTTTGTGCTAATGAGTAAAAAAGCATTTCTTCTAAAACCTTATCTTTAGACTTGAATCTTTGGATTCTATTAATTTTGAGTGTTTAAAAAAATTATTGTATGTATATAATTTTATGGTAGTATAGCCACTGTTCTTCCTTCCATTGAATAGCTTAAACCTTATTGGCATTTTAATTACTCCTTTTTTATACTTCATTACTTCTTTTAAGCAATTGCCGTGTATCTTACTATTAGGAATTCTTGGGTTGAATTTTCATTTCTGATTTGGAGATGGCTACAGTGTGTGCTTGACATCAGGATAAACTGATTTAGTTTAGGGTAAATTGATAGAGTGCAGCTAGTTTTCTGTTATCCACCCTAGTAGAATGGATAACTGTAATTTGTGAATGATCTCCCAATCCTTTGTTAGTTATTTTATGAGAGGTGCTAATATGTAGCAAAGCTATACTGATTTGCATTTTAAAGCTTCGCGTTTCCTATTTAGAGGAGGTAGTAATGAATACTGAAATGACAGAAAAAAAAAAAGGGCAGCAATAGAAGATAGAAGAGAATTGAAAGGCATTAATAATCCACCAAGTGCGTAATTGACCTCTGAGTAATAAAAAACTGGCTGTGATTTCATGCATTACTGTTGAGCATTGTTTAGATTTAACTTTTGTTCGCTACTGATTGAATTAAAGTTTGAGGTGAAATGCTCTATATCTCATTTCTAAACTCAATCGTCTCATCATCTCTCATTGTGAACTCATGAGATTCAGACATGATAAAACAATAATGAGAAGTTAAAAATCAGGGTTAGAAAAAAGTCTGTATTTTAAACCTGCAGTCTTCTAAAAGGGAGAAAAGCAATTATAAGAGTTTCAAGAATCAATAGAAATTGATGTTTTATACCAAAGAAAACTTAAGACCTTGAGTCCTGCCCTCCCCACCATCACTATACAAATAAAAAGAAATCAATAGGCCCAGAAACGTAGCTATTAAAGATTTACGCCCAGCAACTACTTTTGATACTCAAAGCATTGTTTACTATTCCAATTCAGAAAATGTATGTAACTAAGCATAATAAATGATATTTTTAATTTAAAAATGATTTTCTTTTTAATCTCCAGAAATATTTCATTTTGCAAAAAGAATAAATGTTAGACCTGGATTTTAAACAACTCTGATTTCTAGCTTGTTACCTAACAAATTTTAAAGGTCATTTCTGTTGAAAAGATATGTAGTTCTATATTAAAAACTTATTAACAGATTTTGTCAGACTGTGTTTCATCAAAGTCTCATCTCCTGGATAATCTTTTAGCTCCTGCGGTGGGAGGTGTAATCTGAGGGTTTCAAAGTGGGAGCTGAGTGTGGGTGTCGTCCGAGCCAGCAAAGACCTCAGTTACATGTGGGATTTTGAAACTGAGCGTGAGAAATTTGAAACTGAAGCTCAGTTTGGAGCGTTAAGGAAAGTACTACAGGATTGAAGTGGTGAGATTTTATGTATCTCATGTAGGGGTAAACTTCATTAGAATACATCCTGTCAGGAACAAAGTAATTTTTGTGTCCTAGTGTATCAGTTCTCTACTTTTCCCCAATGATGCATCTGTGGCTGACACTCTTTACGTTAAGGAAGACATTCGAGGCATACCCAGATTTTGTGAACCCCCTGTCAGACTTGCAAGGAAGTACAAGTCTTCCAGATGCCGCAGCTACTAGTGGAGTATCCTCATTAATGGCTGTTGACTACAAGTGGCTAGTTATATGCAGTTCATAGCTGGCTCTCTATAATACCACTTATTTCTCTTCCATTCAAAAAAAGCAAACCTTGAATTCAAGTGAATGAAAGTGATATGGGAACAGCTTTAAATTGATTTTGATTCATTAAAGAATCATTTACAGACTTGGGTACTGCATTCTTAATAACTGATTACTTGACGTGCTTGCAGTGTGATCGCTGTGCATCCCTGTGCTGGGATGCTGCTGGAGAACAGTGCTTTCTTGATTTTATTATAATGCAGTCCCTGTGGTGAATAATCCTGTACAACAAATTATTTTTTGATAGTGTTTGTGTTGTAGGTTTTTTCTCTGCTACAAAATGCAGATGCTTGTTCCTTTACATACAGTGAGTGGGAGGTTAAGAGGAGAGAGAAGCTATAACTGAGTTCATCACAGCTCTTTTCTCATGCCGTGAGACAAGCTTTCCTTTACCTCTCTGCATTTCAAGCATTTTCACTAAAAAATACACAAAATAAAAACCCTCCAAAAAACCCCCAAACCTTCCAAACCAAGAACACAGTCTTTTTGTGGAAAGACCAAAGAGCCAAGAGGAGCAAAGGAGAGAGCTTGGCTTTCAACAGCAGAATTAAAATATCTTTACAGAGAAAATAATGGAAATAATGAACTTCCCCAAGGACACGATGCCTTGGTTCTACTCCTGGATTATCACTTCCCGTCAGTGACGCTGTTCCTCAGCTTGGTTTCATGTCACTTAAGTCAGGGTTTAATCATGTAATTTTAAAGCAAGGAAATACATTAAAGATCATTTATAGATCCCCTCATTCTAAACATTTCCAGCAGTTTATTCATTGTAACTCTGTAAATGGTCTTATTTATCTTTGGATCACCAATACTTGGCACAAAACCTAGAAGGTATTCCATAAATATTTATTAAATTAGCTTAAAGAAATTAATCTGCATTAATATTAGTAAATGGAAATACTATTAATAAGATCTGATATTTCTTAGTAATCTTAGATTACTTAAATATGCCAAGTGATTTTTTTCTTGACCTTTTTTCTCTAACCAGATTTGCATCTGCTGGTGATGATGGAATTGTAGTTGTGTGGAACGCTCAGGTGTGTATTGGTTCCGTGTGAACTGTGTAGAGACCTGACCGTATAGTTGAGTATGTGTCCGTAAGCACTATCTGGGGGTCTTCTTGCATATCAGCAGACTGAGACTAATATTTGAAAAGGGCTACTTAGCATGAATCCATTAAAAGTGGGGACCAATATTTCATAATAGAGAAATTAATAGAGAATGCTAATATATAGAGAAATGTACCATATATATTATATTTAGAGAAATATAATAGAGAAATTTTTAATTGATTTTTTTTCCTGAGAAGCAAATGCCAAACTATGAAAATTTTGAGTCATATTGAACAAAATTTAAGTTATCAGCAACTATGCACTGATTCTGAAAGTGAATCAAATGTTTTTTTGTGGGAGACAATTTTTCTTTCAAAATTGTATGATAGCATAATATAACATTCTTCTCATGTTTGACTTTAGTAGTAATGTAGTAAAAGGCTTATTTTTTCACAAATATTTAAGACTTCACCAGATTTCTCCAGGGCCTCTCTTTCTGATCCTTTGATACTCAGATTGTTCTCTTCTGAGGCATTCTCCTCTTCTTGCCCTCATTTGGATTGCCACTGGTCTGACTCTGTCAGGTCCTCATTTCTCAGTGGCTTTGTCTGTGAGTAAAGCAGTTCTTTAAAGTTACATTCACCATGTTTATGAAATCCTGCCACCTTGGAAAGATTCGAGATTTACATTGTATTTTTGTGTGTTTACTGCTTGGGAAATCAGTGAGAGACTGATGAACGAGGACGTTGGATGGGCAGGCATAGCTGTTGGTGTGAGGGAGAGAGGGAGCCTGACTTTATGAGTGGTTCATGTATTACTGCAGACAGAGAGATTTTGTTGTTATGCTTTTATTTCCTTCCAGAACTTTGTAAGTGTGGAGACTTAGATAACAAACACTTGGATAATGAGCACTCCCTATTTTTTTCCTATTGATTAAGTTACTGGTATTTTTATGCTTAATTTGTACAATTATATTCTTAAAACCAAATAGAAAGCATATCCCTTTACACTTTTTATAAAAATATGCTAAAAATTAGTATTTTCTATTAGAGAATAATTAAAATTGTTTGTGGCTACTCTTTCATCACCTGTTTAGATTCTATTTGATTGCTCAAAGTTAAATTATAAGATCTAAGCGATTTCAAATGGGGTGTATTTTCTACATGGTGATTCTTCTTAATGTTGTCATTTAAGATAATTTAGGTTGTGAAATATGAGCCTATTAACTTTTTTATTGGTATTTCAGACAGGAGAAAAACTTTTGGAACTCAGTGGACACACTCAAAAGATAACAGCTATTATTACATTTCCTCCCTTGGAAGCTTGTGAAGAAAAAAATCAACTGATCTTGACAGCGTCTGCTGATAAAACAGTTATTGTATCCTTAAATGTGGAAGAAAGTGAAATAGCTGGAGTGACCCAGGGGACCAGTACCTACATTAGTCTTTAGCCTCTTGGGGCCTGTGTGTACTTTCCTGTTTTACCAAATATGATTTGTTCTAGCCTTCATAAGATAGTTCTGAAAAGTATTAGCAGCTGAAAAGTATTAGACTGGAAATAGCAGGTTACAGCTTCTTATTGGTGGATACCCCATGACTGAAGCTGTTCTCTCTAGGGTTACTGTTGTATCAAGTTCTATAAAATGGAGGAATGGGAGAATGTGGGCTTAAAAATTATCTCAGTTTGCTTTTCAGTTTAGAGAAACAAAGATGAGCTGGACTGGACAATAAGTCACACTTTTTCTGCTCATTGTACAGCGATAGAAACTTGAGGGCCCCAACCCAGAAGAACCTTCTGAACCTTTGAGCCTGGCCGAAAAGTGAATTACCATCTGCTCAGTGTTTAGTATTAAGATTTAGTGTTTAAAAACAATGTTAGAAAAGTAAATTCCCTTTTTTTCCACTCATACTTTTAGTTAAAAGTTTAAGATGTAACAGCAATAGAAAGTTTTATAAAGAGTTTGTGTGCCAGGCATTGTTCTCTTTTACATATATTGATCCATTTAATCCTTATAAGAAGTGTTTTTGTTATTCTCATTTGTGGATAAGAAAAGAAAGGCACAGAGAGGTTCAGTAACCTGCCCAAGGTCGTGCAGCCGGGATGGGGCAGAGGCAAGCAGGCTGACTGCAGAGTCACAGCTCTGAACCTCTGTACAATGTGGCCTTCGTGAAATGTTCTCCTTAAACGAATGCAGCCCTTTAATATTTGTGTGAGGAACTGGACTCGTGAGGGCCATGGCCAAATGCTACACGTAACTGTAATCTTTCATTACTTTGGTTTTTTAAAAAGATATCATAGATAAGCTTTAAAAAGCGTGAGCTTACCCGAGAGTTCTGTTCAAATGGCTCCAGGCGTTGGGGAAGGAAGTTTTGGAATAAACCCGAGGGAGTAGGTGCTTCTTCAGCTTCTAGGAACCAAGACATACTTACGGCACACTTTGAGTGAGCTCATCAGCCATGGTGATTTCTACACAGTTTGCCAATAGGTGGCAAAATCTCAAGAAAAGGTTTAAATAAGGATTGACTATATTTTGTGATGATTACAATATTGCCTAACAAGGGCATAAAATTCACTTGTGTTTGGGTCAGAGTGGCTTTATTACTACTGCTCCATTGAGGCAAATATTTTATGGACTAAGGCTCTTTTTTGTTTGTGTGTTTTCAGTATCAGTATAATCTCTGCAAAAATAGAATATAAAATGCTTTCTTTTCCATTTCTAAGGTACTATAATAATATTTCGAGGCAATTACTAGAATTACTGTTGCAGTGCCGAGTGGAGTGGTGGGACAGATCAGTGTACACTTGCCCTGTGAGTGATGGGCTGGAGGCCCCTCCTTTGCTCAATGACTTTTCTGGTCAAAATTAATTCTAGGCTGCTTGGTTGGCATTTCCTTTGACTCAGATGGATTCTGAATTTGCTCTGCTTGGGCCTCACTGTTAACTAACTTCATTAACTAAAATGCTGAGGGTGGATATTTTATTTTTGTCAAGTGATAGTCTCAAGAGTCCATATGTACATACATATGTATTTCTATATATTCCATATATTTATATGTAAATGTCTTCCAGACACCATGTAAAGATGTATATCTTACCATAGCAAATGATGTGAGAAATGTGAAAATCATTGTGCTCCTTAAGTCAAGCTAACCTTGGACATTTTGTGAGAGGTCCCGTACTTATTTTAAATAAGTATACAGGTAATAGGAATACGCTGTTTTCTCTGAATCAGGATCACAGCAGTAAATCCTGTCATGCATGTTGTGGGAGCTTTCAGTAAATGTTAATTAATAGACGTAATAGTTTTTAGTATAGATACTTTATGTTCAATGTTTATTAGATTATGGTCGACTATTTTGGAGAATAAACCTTAAGCTTTAAACAGTTGCACTATTTATTGTGTATATAGATTCATATTTCAGACCACTCATTCTGTTAGCATTTTCCAGTAGTTTGATAGTACAATTTGCCTCAAACTGATTTTAGATTGTGAGCCGGATGTGCTAAGTTGATGACTCACGATATGAATTTTTATAGTAGTATAAACACTAAATATTTTATGCTTTATTTAAAGATTTTCTACCTAAATGTGTAACATTTGTGATTCAATTATTAGAAGAGTTATCTCATAATTCAGGTTTCAAAGTTTTGTCTAGAAATTATTTCTTAACCTAAATCTAGGTGTGGGATTGTGATACGGGCAGACAAGTTCGGAAAGTGTCCTGCTTCCATTCTACTGTGAAGGTAAAATCTTAAGCAGATATTTTATGGAAATAATCTTTTTGTCACAGAAAAAATTGTTTTATAAGTTAGATGAAATTACTTTTGTAGGTTTTAAAAATTATTTCTTCCACATATGCCTGCAGTCATTTGATTCTCCTAAAGACTAGATTTTTGGGAGTATGTATGTTACGTGGTAGAACATTTGAATTTGAAATTAGAGCAAGGGGTGAATCTCTACAGCAAGATAAGGAAAAAGGTAGTACCTAGTATGCTTTTAGTAGGTAATTCTAGGAAGAGGTGTTACTTGCAGAATGATTATAACAGTAGCTAGACTGTTTTCTTCATAAGGGAGCTATTTGTGCCTCAACGTCTGTCTTCTGTAAGGTCATAAAGATAAGACATGTCAATTACTTAGTTCCAAAACAAAATCTTAGGTGGATAGTTGGCTACTATTAGGTTCATTCACTTTACAAATAAATAGTAATTGGGGCTTATTGCATGATAGGAACTCTGCTATATGTTGGAGAAATAAGCTTCCATAAAACGTGGTTACTTTGATTCCTACAGTAGAAATTACCTTAAATGTTCTCAGAAAGTCCCACTAGTTTTCAATAATGTCAGCAAGATTAGGGAAAGATACTAGTAAAATGAGATAATGTTGCCTCATTTGCTTTAAAGACAACTATCTTTATATTGGAACTAACACTTTTTTTTTTTAATGTAAAAAAGAATAGCTGTGTGCCAATAGTCAAGGTATTTCCTTTTTTTCCCTAAAAGGCAACATCTCTGGTAGTCCTCTCATGCTACTATGATCTTCTAATTATCAATTTAGTAAAGTTTCTGGGGAAGAAAATAGCATTTACTATGTGCTTGTATCCAATTTAACAATGGACTGTCTTTGAAGAAGTCAAAGTATTGACTTGATGAAAATCTCTAAGCTTTATTTGATCTGAAAAGATGCCCCTTTTAAATTCCTTAAAAAATACTCTTGCTATCTGACAGAGGTCATTAGGTTTCAGATGAAAATACATGAGTTGAAGAAAGAGGAAAGGAGGAAAAATTTAATATATTTGAGGGAAATTCCTTTGGTGAACTGTTTCTAGGAACCGGTCAATAAAAAGTGTCTTATTCCAATACTATTATTTATTTTTTGAACTAGAAAAGTTTTTATAAGTGTTGGTATTAGCAAGCAGTTGGTGAAATTGGCATTTTTGTTGCTGTTGAGAGTATGAATTAATATTATCTTCCTGGAAGGCAATTTGGCATTATGAATGAATCTAAAAAAATTGTTAGATGAATTGACCCAGTGATTCTACTTCTAGAAAACTCTGTAAAGGAAATAATCAAGAACTTTGGCAGAGATTTATGAATACAAGTGTATATTATAAATATATTGTATAAATGGATGATTCGCAGTATCCTAAATGTCTTACAGGGAAATAGTTAAATTACGGTAGATGTATATGTTAAAAATGGTATTTCAGAAGAATATGTAAAGAGTTTGGAAAATGCTACTGATAAGATGTCAGGTAACAAAAGCATTATATTATCTTCAGCAAAGTACTAGCAAATCAAATCTAACAACATAAAAATAGGATTATACAGCCTGACCAAGTGAGATTTATCCCAGGAATATGAGTTTAGTTTAACATCTGAAAAAATCAGTGTAATACATCATAGTAAGAATAAAGGACAAAAAACATATGATCATCTCAGTAGATGCAGAGAAAGTATTTGCAGACTTTAACACCATCTCATGATAAAAATACACAAAAACTAAGGATAGTTGAGAACTTCCTCAACCCAAAAAAGAACATCTATGAAAACACCACAGCTCACGTCATATAAATGGTTTAAGACTGACTAATGCTTTCCCCTGAGATCAGGAACAAGACAGGATGTCTGCTTTTGGCACTTCTAGTCCACTTTGTGCTGGAGGTTCTGACCCAGGGCAGTTAGGCAATAAAGAAATAAAATGCATTCCTGTTGGAAAGGAATAAATAAAATTATGTTGATTTACAAGTGACATGATCTTTTATATAGAAAATCCTAAATCCATAACAAAATGATTAGGACTAATAAATGGACTTAGCAAGGTTTCAGGATACAGTATCAATATACAAAAATTAATTGTATTTCTACACACTAGCAAGGAACATTCCAGAAATGAAATTAAGAAAACCATTCATTTACGATAGCAGCCAAAGGAATAAAATTCTTAGAAATAAATTTAAAGAAGAAATATTGGACTTGTACACCAAAAACTACAAAATATTGTTGAAAGAAACTAAGTAAAATCTAACTAAATGGAAAGACATCCCATATTCATGGAAGATTAAATATTGTTAAGAATCTCACACTACCCAGAATCTTCTACAGATTGGACATGAACACTACCAAAATCCCAGCAGCCTTTTTTTTGTTGTTGAAATTGACAAACTGATCCTAAAATTGATATAGAATTGCAAGGGACCCCAGAATAGTTAAAACAATCTTGAAAAGAAAGAACAAAGTTGCGAGATTCAAACTTCCCAATTTCAAAATTTCCTACAAAGCTATAGTAATCAAGACAGTGTGGTACTGGCATAAGGATAGATATACAGATCAATGGAATAGAATTGAGAGTCCGGAAGTAAAACCTCACGTATATGCTCAACTGATTTTTGACAAGGATGCCAAGACTCTTCAATAAGAGAAATAATAATCTCTTCAACAAGTAATGCTGGCTCAACGGGATATCCATATACAAAAATAATGAAATTGGATCCCTACCTCATGCCGTATCGAAAAATTGACTCAAAATGGATCAAAGATCAAAATGTAAAAAAAAAGAGCTAACACTATAAAACTCTTAGAAGAAATAAGAATAAATCTTTGTGACCTAGGGTTAGGTATCATAGATATGATGCCAAAAGCACAACAACAAAAGAAAAAGTAAATTAGACTTCATCAACATGAAAAGCTTTTATGCTTCAAAGGTCACTGTCAAGAAAGTGAAAAGACAACCCACAGAATGGGAGAAAATATTTGCAAATCATATATCTGATAAGGAACTTGTATCCTGAACATATAAAGAACTCTTACAACTCAACAATAAAAAGACAAATAACCCAATTAAAAATAGACAAAGAATTTGAAAGACATTTCTCCGAAGAAGATACACAAATGGTCAATAAGCACATGAAAAGAAGATCATCATCATTAGTCATTAGAGAAATGCAAGTCAAAACCATAATGCATTACTGTTTCACATACACTAGATGGCTAATATTTAAAAGATAATAATGTAAATTGAGAAGGATGTGGAGAAACTGGAACCTTCATACATTGCTGGTAGGATTGTAAAATGGTACAGCCACCTTGGAAAATAGTTTCACAGTTCATTAAAATGTTAAACAGAGTTATCATTTGACCTAGCAGTCTCACTCCTACATATTTCCAAGAGAAATGAAAACGTATGTCTATGCAAAAATATGAACATGGATGTCCATAGCAGCATTGTTCATAATAGCCCCAAAGGGGAAACAACCTAAATGCCCATCAATTGATGAATGAACAAAATGTGGTATATCCATGCAGTGGAGTATTATTTGTCAATAAAAAGGAATAAAGTACTGATATTAAAAATTAAGAGATTCAACAGAGTAGGACCTCTTGAAATATAAACTGCGTTATTTTCAACCCTTTCTATTCCAGCAGTTGTAAAAGTAGCCCCACCCTCAGCCCAGGCAAGACTACCCGAGCCTTTCCCTTTTCTGTTTTATTCTTTTCTCTTGCTCTCGCGCTCACTCAGGGTCATTGAGTGGTGAGAGTCCTCTTAAAGGTAAGGCACTTCAGCAGGCCGGAAATGCTCCCTTTCCTGGGTCAAGAGTTAGAAGATATTAATTAGAAAGATATGTAAAAACTAAGGCCATATTCTCAGGTTTTTTTTTTTTAAAGCAGTTTATTGAAAATAGTGGGTGGAGCAAAATGGTGGGGTGAGCTGACCCGGGACTCTCTCCCCTCCAAACTACAAGAAAGGATTGGAAAAAAAATGAATTTCAGCTAATAAGCCTAATGCCAGACCGTAAGAGACCTACAGCACCACAAAGATGGAGGACGGAGAGGCTGCTGCCGGCCTGGGAGGAGCTGGAATAGGGAAGGAGAGAACTTCGCTCCCTCCCCTAGAGACTGGGATCACTGCCGCAGGTGCGGGAAGGAGCGGGGGAGGGGCCGTGTGACCAGGGGATCATCTAGGACTCCTGCCGCCGGTACAGTGGAAACCCTCTGACGGGGGAAAGCTTCCGTGCACAAGGACCCCATAAAGCCAGGGCCCTGGGAGTCCAGAGAACAGAGCTGATCCGAATCCAGATTGGTGCACCAGAGAAACCGCCCCTCCTCCCCCAGCAAACTGCACTGGGCACCGCCGTCTTGCCCTAAGGCCGAGAGCTCAGAACGCTTGGCTCTCGACCCCCATCTAGTGGTGACAGGCTGTAAGTGCAACCGAATTCTACCATCATGCGAAAAAACCGCTCCTCTACCATCCAGCAATTTATAAAAGCTCCAGAGCAGAAGGAAAACAATAAAAACACAGAATTAAGTCCTGAGGACTTGGAAGTAGGTAAACTAAGTGAAAATGAGTTCAGAGTAGCTATAATCAAAAAACTCAATGAGGTAGAGAGAAAGATAGAGAAACAAGCCAACGAGTTCTGGAGTTTCTTCACAAAAGAGATTGAAATTATAAAGAAGAATCAAATAGAATTACTAGAGATGAAAAACACAATGGATCAGATAAAACAGAATAGATTCTCTGAATGCCCGTGTAGGCACCATAGAAGAGCAAATTAACATAATCGAAGATAGACAGGCTGAATGGCTCCAGACAGAGGAAGAAAGAGAACTAAGAATTTAAAAAAATGAGGAAAATCTCCAAGAGATAGCAGATTCGATGAGGAGAAAGAATTTAAGGATCGTAGGAATTCCCAAGAACGTGGAAAAGGAAAATGGAGCAGAAAGTGTGCTTAATGAAATTATAGAAGGGA